TAGTTGTCTAATGTTTGTGGTCCCAGGGCTACGATTTAATGATTTGGTTTTGTTACTTCAAAAGCTTTGTTTGGTTTCTGTAAGTACACGTGAATTTTTGTTTCCACCTTGAAGAATTTACGCTTGTGACAGACAATTTTTTTGAGTCAGTTAGAGGTTTCTGTGCCCTATCAAGGCTTTAAACTGACTTACGTTTGCATTTGCAAATGGGACAATATTTTAATTAGGAAATAAGAATTATTAAACAATCCGTTACGGACGTTACTTAGGTATTATATTTAAAATTCTTAACCATATCTCTAAATATATAAATAAAAAGACATGCAATATACTCCTGCGTTAACTCTCATTATTGCATTGTCTCTACCCTATCCTAACTCAGTTAATTTTATAGTTCAATAAAATATTCGTTATGCTTAACCTACTTTGCCCATACATTGTAATATATCTAAGTAGGTATACATAAAATCAGTCGTTAAGTCAGTCTAGCCGTAACTACAATCTACATTTTAGTAATATAATAAAACTTTATCACAAAGCAACTAAGTATGTGAAAAGATTATGAATTTAAAGCAGTGAAAAGCTGTCTATGATTCCAGTGTTTAGTGGTGTGTCTTTGAATAACAATAGGTACTATTGTGTGAGTTTTTTTTTGGTAATCTCTTGTTCGGTTTTAGGTCACTTTTTATTTTTTAAGTAGGATTATTTTTCCTTAAGAATGGTAGCCGGACGTTAAAAAAGTTTGAAAACCAAGTTTCTATTTAAATAGTCCGTTAAGCAATAATATGTTTTTTTTTTCCTAAACGTATTTTTCTTAATGTATTAGTGTTTTCAATTAGATCAATTCGAATTACTGCATTGAAAACATTTGTCATTATAACGTAAATAACATACTTTTAACGGACGAAAACGCGATGAGCTGTGGTCACGACTGCTGCAAAAATCCCTGTCGTGCCGTATTTAAATCAAACTAAAAAAGTTAACTTATATATTTTGCGTTTTGAACCCTTTAAAGTGTTTTATTTAAATGTGTACTACTCGCGTACGAAAATACCTGACTTATAAAAACATTGCTTTTCTTATAAATATAAGAATATCGTATCGCTTGCCACAAATACGAATCTAAAGTAAATTTTAAGTTAACCAATAGGTCAAAGCCCTCGAAAGGTGACGATACAGTAAAAACGCGCAGTCTCTGCACCCCATGACGTCGTTCTTACAAGTGAATTGGTGTTAAACGCTATATTTCATACAACCTCCGCTGCGAACGTTAAAAATCTCTTTCAAGAATTATTTTACACATCATTAGAAGAAGGTAAAAATAACATTTAATACTCAATCCTTGCTACACGCCGCTAATAAAATCTCGTTTCCCCTATGCGAGCCATAGGACATATTTCTATGTCTCTTTCGCTTATTTACAGGCAAAGAAAGAACTTAGACCACATATAAGAACGTTTACTTCCTGTTATATTCTGATGTCATTGTTGAAATACGTAATAAATTAGATGTATTTTAGTATCCTAAAATGGTAATAATATGTTGGTAATAACTGTTTTTCGTAGATTTATTGATGGTTCTATAAATCTTCTTTAGAAGCACCGATGCGTAGGCGCAAGATAGCAGTAGTGGGTTGTGCTGAGGCAATGAAATGTAGTATGCCTTCTCGAAAGTGTGAAACTATTTAAAAATATATATTGGCAATAATAGATATATACCACATATATAATACTAACGAGTTTATATTTTTTTGCATTTAATGTTAGTACCTCGAACGTCTTATACATCATATTGACCACTTCTTAAATATTTCTCACTTAACCTAACTCTTCCGTCGGTCACATACCCTAACTCTTTTAAAAATTACTATGAATTGTTGGAATGGAACTACATTGAAGTTCTGACCTCCTAGACTTTTCCAAGCCTTTAATTCTTCGATCACGCCTCTGCGCTTTAAAACTTTAAATTTCTTCTAAAACTCTTTCTTTTCAACTACTTAACGGCGACAAAACGATCAAATTGAGATAATCTATCTCCTGTGTAAAACTATTAGCGTGCCAAGGAGGTATTATTCCGCTCCTTTTCACTGTATCATTCAACGTATAACTACCGCCCTTTCTTGTCACTTCCACTTATATCAGACGATTTGAAATTATTCCCATATGCCCCGAGGATCTCAATATTATTAGCTCTCTAAACTATAACTGCAAAAAATTTCTTCTTGAGTAAATCTTTTGGCATTCAATTAAATCCGATAAAAACACAGTCAATTATAATTGTACCCCAGCCTTGTCAATCGGATCAACTGACAACACCCTCCCATTTTCATGATTTTCTTTCCTTACATAAATCCGTCAAAGATCTTTTATGTAGATGTCACCTTATCCTGGTATCCACAATTAAAGGAAATAAGCCGGAAAATGTTTGCTACGGCCTCCAGTTTGCGACGTATTGTAACTTTTACCCATTCCCACTAAATCCTCGCCCAATCCCTTCTCCTCCCTTCTCTTGATTATATTTTTTTCCAACCTCTGACTATTCAACTTGATAAATTAACACTAAAACATGGAATTAATTGTTTTGGCCTTGTAAATTTACCATGTTTCTAAATTTCGCTCCGCCCTCAACTGCTCCCTATTGTTTACGAGGAATTAATTTCTTCTCTCTTTTCCAAATACTCTTCATCCTAAACTCCAACTTACTGAAAGAAAAATTTGATTCCTCTCGATAAAGGCCTTATCTCCGTCAGCGAAAGCTACTTTATTTTCCTTCTCCTCAACTAGATTCTATAATTCATCCTTTCATGTAAGACTATAAAACTTTGGAACAATTTACCTTGTAATATAAGAAAAGCCCAGAATCTCGCTCCTTCAAGAATCTTGTCAAGTCCCACTATTTATGCTAATTAAGTAACTTATTAAGATAGTAATAATTGATTTTTATTAATATTTTGTATTATTGTTATATTAGTTTTAGTATGTAGGTTAATCTTTTTTTTTTTTTTTTCTCTTACGCAATCCTTTTTTATATGAATTTATTTCCATGTTTTGAGAGATACTATTTAGCTATAAAGTGGTTTTCCTTAATTTCTATAAATTTTTGTATATTTTTTTTTTTTTTTTTTTGTATGAATATTTGTTTTATTTATTGTACCTATATATTTTCATTTCTCGTTTTAGAGTGTTTATGCTGAAATAATAAACAATTTGTATAATATGTGTAATATTACTACACAATGTAGGTAGTTCTATTAAATTCCGTTTCTTCTTGTTCGGTGTCGTTTCATGGATTGGTTATTAGGGAAGTACTTAGTTGTTCAGACTTCTGTACCCTGCCCGACTGACACAATCTACTGTTTACCCGGGATTCAAACCCAGGACCTCTCGCGCTTAACGTAATTCTAGGCAACATAACGTTTAACCATTTAGCTACAGGGATAGTTCTGTTAATTAAGTTAGCTTTAGTTAATATTGTATTCATGTTATCTAAAATCTAAAATGTTATGTAAAATCAAAGTACCTATCGATTGATCCGAGCACATAGTGAATAAGGGAGTATTTTGAAATACCTATTTTTCTAATGGAAACTTTCGTAGGTATTTCTATTTTCGAGGAACACGCAAAAATGCCGTTATCGTGCGCCGTAGCCAGTTAAAAACGTCCTTGCCAACCGAACCGAATCCAGTCATACTCCCATAAAGTTTAATATGTTTCTAGTTAATTTCTGTGTATGGAAATTATAAAATCATGCGCAGACGATCGTTGCGCATTCACGGCGCGTTAAAAACGCGTGGCGTGCGCGCGCGCATCTAATCTCTAACGAGTTCGCACTCTCGTGTGTAAGGGCCATTATGGTTAGTTGCGCTTGTTATGCCCGTGTGAGACATGCACTATGAAAGCTTGACAATGACATTCTGTCCGTTTTGCATATTTTGTAGGTCACGGTGGATGTGAAGGAAAAATACTGTTTATACGAATTTACGACATATTTTTTTTCACGAGGTTAACAATATGAACTTACGTCGTTATTGTCTTTTGAATTGGCGAAATAAGCAAAATGGTTTTTCATACCCCACTATTTGTATACTTAGAGCTGAGGCTAGAATCAAACTGAAATATTTCGCCTGCCCGGATCGCTAGTTAAATTTGATAAACAGCCAGATCAGCGAAGCATTCCAAGTCATTAGGTTTAAAAACCGAGGTAAAACAAACGACAGACATATAGACAGTATTTAAAACAAACGATTTTCAATAATAGATATAGCTTAAATCTAGCTGTGCTTATCTTGCGTACGCATCGACAGCGTATCTTGCTTAGATGTAGGTTATGATAGACCAACAAATGAAATCTATTTGTTTAGAATAGTTCCAATACCTTTTGCTTATGATGCAAACAATTACAATTCTACCTCATTACGAATTTAATTTGACGAAGCAATAAATTAAAGTTTCAAGGTTTTGAGAACATCCTCCTTTCAATAAATTAAACGTAACAATCCTAATCTATATCCAATATATTTACATCTACTGTAGCCAACCGATTGTAAACGAAACGAAACGGCGGTAAGTAGTTACCAAAACAACATTATATTTATTACCAAAACAACATTATATTTACAAATTCTTAAATCATCAATACATTTTGTTGAAAGAGTTCTTTCTCGAACACACTGCGAAGAAACAGAGGGCTCATCTCTGAGGGCTTCCTCGATGCACGGCGAAAACAAAAAATATGTATGATAGAATTATTAATTATCCCTCTTTAAATGATTCATAAAATTTCAGCAACAATGTGTGTTTATCGTATGATTACGCAAGAACGACGGGACGCGGACGACGTTGTCGGTAGTAGCTTTTAATTTAAAAAGCTTTCCTAAAAAAAATTTTGATGACGACAATAACTAATCCACGCGGATGAAGTCGCGGGCACAGCTAGTATTGTTATAAAACAACCCATTGTACATTTATATGCAATTTAGTTAGCAAAGTACCAACATACTAATGGTGTTAACAGAAAACATAGTTTCACATTTCGGTCTCGCTGCGGTTTGTATATTACACAATATACGCGTAAAATAAAACATACGAACAAACACCCGACCACAGTCTCACGCGGCCTCGTAAATATATAAAAATGTTTTGCGACACACCGACAAAGTGATACGTTTTCACTTTTATTACTTGAACTTACAATGTCTGCATTAAGTGGTTTCAGCTCATTTAAAAACAAAGTTACAATTTCTGCGCTCATTTTCCGCTGTTGTTAGGTGACGTAACGACGTACTATTTTGTTATTTGAGAAAGGTAATTTCTATATAATAAAGAGAAATAGTATTAAAAAATATCTCCCGTTAATCTTTTTTTCCTTTTATGTGGTTTTGTCTGCATTTTAACCCAAAAGTTCTGAAAGATTTTTTATTGAGAATTCTTCTATTTATTTAACATAAAGGCCATTAGTCACCTAAAAATAATTAATATGAGTTTGAAAAACTAACTCTGCAGTCATATTTATCAAGTACTTTTTTAAGTATTGTACAGTAGACGCGACTAGAACAAATTAGATTAACAAATTTTAACCGTTCAAAAGTCGAAATAAATTAACTTATGTTCATCAACGACCCGACGTTTCGGATGTTTTGCAGCCATTTCTGTTGTAAAGCATCTCAAACGTCGTTAAAACAGTGTTGTTTAGTTCCTTTAAGCCAGAAAGAAATATACGATATCGTACTGCTTCTAAATAAGTATGTATAAATGTATGTTTGTTTGTCTCCAGGTGTGGTTTCAAAATAAGCGTTCTAAAGAGCGACGTTTAAAGCAACTAACATCAATGGGAAGGGGTCCATTTTTCGGATCTTCACGCAAGATGCGAGGTTTTCCAATGAACCTCTCCCCCGGGGGGTTAGAAGAGGGGCCGCCGGGGTTCCCATACTTCGCGACAGCAGATGGCAAGTTCGAGTTTGGCTATGGTCCGCCGTTCCACCATGATGCGCCGTTTTTCCATCCGCCTCCGTCCATGCCATTCAATCAGCCAGGTTGGTAGACTTCTAAACTTAATGCTATTTCATACGCAGAGCATTGAAATTAAAACCAGTTCATATTATTATTTTAAATACAGCCTACAAAAATAAATATTTTGTTACTTAAATTTGTCTATAGTTTACGCGAGTAGTATACATTTAAATAAAACTACTTCAACGGTTTAAAACGCGATATTCATTAGTTTACAAATTAACTAGGACGTTTCGGATGCTTTGCTAATAAATTTCGCGTTTGAAACTGTTTAATATATTTAATTAAAACTTTTTACATTAATAACACAGGCGGAATATCTGTGCTTGTAATAAAACAATATAGGTCCTAAAATGTATTTGTTATATTAGCGTACATTGTACTTATATCTTGTATGAAGTCTCTAACTGGAGCAGGTCGTTTCGCAGGCGGAATGGAATCACTGCCCGGCGGCGAGTTTCCCGAGCAGTTTCCACCACCGGACCACCTGGTCCTCCCCCGACCTTCGTCCCCCGAGTTCACGTTCGGGGACGCCCCGCCGCCTCTCCACCCCGAGGGTCTCGTGTGGTAGCTGAAGCCGGAGCCGCGTGACTACCACGATTGATGCGGCTCGCTAGGCTATACCGTGGACTAAGTGACGTTCAGTGTTGGTGAAGAGACCTCTTAAATGCAGTTCTTGCTATGGGATATGCAATACTAATTCTACAGCGTCAAAACACGATGGCAATAACCTTATTTTCAGTTGTGGCAGTTTAGAGGTTTTTTATATATGAATTATCTTTTTATTTTTTATATATGAAAGTTTGTTTTCGTAACAGATGAGTGTTGGCACAGTAATGTTTTCATTACGAAAGTAATCAATTTTCTACTGTCTGTAGTTTACGCGAGTAGTACACGTTTAAATACACTTAAACGGTTTTAAACGCGATATATATTAGCTAAACATGTTTGTCAATTATTTTAAGTCTCTCCTGACTATGGCTGCTGTAAAACATCTGATACGTCGGGCCGCAGTTAAAATAATTCTCAAACAAGTATAACTAATATACATCGCGTTTTTAATCGTTAAAGTGTTTTATTTAAATCCCCATTTCTATCATTTATCTTATTCTCTTTCTTCTCTATAATTTAAATGTTGTAAACCAACGAATTGTAACAACTGAAATCAAGAGTTAAGCATTGTTTATACCTAAAATAGGGTCATTCGAGTGTTTTATGCATAATATTATGTGATTGAAATGTGAATATTGTAAATACAGAAATTTTATATTAAAGATGTTTAGAGTAAGACAACAAAGTAAATTATTTAGTAGTTTAGAGAGGTTTTACAATTTTGGTTCCTATTTTAAGATAGTTTACATTTTTGTGTATTTATTAATATTTTGACTTAACTGTGAACGTGTACATTTATGGACTTACATTATATTACATTCTAACAATTTGTCGCGTTATGTGCATACAGTTGGTTTACCGAACATATTTTTTTTTAACAATAATTGTTGGGATGATTTACATTTATTTTTAAATATCTCTAAACAATTATTACATTACCTTTCCATGTATGTTCAAATGTTGGAACATTGTGTATCGAAAGTTCGCTAAGAAATAATTTCAGTAAGATCATTTTTTTGTACATAAAGAGGCCATGTAAATAGTTCATTTTGCCCCTAAACTTATTATTTTTTGGACAATGAGTTTGTTTTAATTTTTGGTTTGATTAATTAATTCCAATGTAAAAATGTAATTTATTATAATTCATATGGTAGACTATTTCTTACAATTCCATAATTAAGGGAACATTATTATTATGGTTTACTTTTGTATATTAAATCGAAGATATTTTTTAATATATAATATCTAAGTCTAACAAAATGAGTTTCCTAACAAGTCTTTATTTCTATCGAACACAATTTTCGATTTAATATACAAAAAAATCCGTACATAAACCAGGATCACATAGTTGTATAAATTGTATGTTTGTACGTTACAAGTGTTGATATCAAGTACTAACATACGATTGTCTATCTGTATTTAGTAAATTAAAAATATAATGGAATTGTCTGTAAGAATAAAATTATTCGATAAAATGTGGTATTACTTTTATTTATCCTGCAACACCGAGAAAATCTAGAAAAGTATGATGGAAAATGTTATTTATATATATTTTTTTATGGTACGTAATTTTACCAATTCAATAATTTAATTAAATTTACCAACGGACTCTTGTTTTCTATTGGCATAGTGTTAAAATTACAGCCTAACAATGGGCACAGAACGCAGACGTATTTTTGTGTCCGTTTAACTAATATATTTTATTTAGGACGAAACATTTAATCATACTAGTTCTCTCCAACTTTAACTATTGTTTCTTTGAGGTTCAAACCTAAGACCGCCTTAGCTATGTAATGCAAACAAAATCAATATATTAAATGGATGCTAGACACTTCGGAATTCCGTCAGGTCACGGACCACAACAGATGAAAACGTTGTCAAGTTTAATCGTGGGTTCCGAATATCCAAAAACAGGACGACAGCGCACCGTGTTATATGGCTGGGGTATACATATAGCACTCTTTATATTATTATAGAAAAACAAATGAACTCACATCGCACACATTTTGTAAGCACACACAACCCTCGTGAGTCGTGGCGTCGTAAAGGAAAATACTAAATAGTAATTTGTATGGGACACATGCCGATTCACACGTTCAAATTAACTGTGCTCGTGGTTTCTTGTAATTGGAACTCCGGAGCGGGTAATTGATGTTCATGTGTGTTTATACACATAGGTGACATCCGGTGTTTCTTTACATGTAAATATAGATTGCTAGTAATGTGTATATGCTTTTCTTTTAACAGGAAATAAAGAAAACATTCAGTGGCGTAGCGTTCAACGCACCATGGCCCCGGTACTTAGGGGCCCTCTAACCTAATTTTCGTAGAAGAGATAGAGATTTTAGAGGTTAATTTTGTTCAAGCTATGCTAAAAGAGGGGATGAGGACTCGATTCTTTCTTGAGCCTTAGGATTAGGTAGAGCGGGGGGCCCTTCTCCACATAACTACGCTACTGAAAACATGCACTTGATGGAAGGTGAAATTCAGCCATATAACGTCAATGTGACTCGGTAGCTCAATTGACATTTACACACAGTTTTTCAGAAAATAAGACAATTTAAAACACGAAGCAGAGTAGCACAATTGGTAAAGCAGCACGATAAAAGTTTTAGAGTTTGTTACTTTGTTTGTTTGAACGCTTATCTTAATAAGAACTACTGGTTCGAATTTAAAAAAAATGTGTTAGTTAGAGCATGTATTAATAAAGGTTTAGGGAGGATGTCTCTGACGTAAAAGTAAAAAATTGCTACGCTAGCGCCATCTGTTCCGTCGAAGTTGGTATTTGGCGAAACTGGCCGGGTCTTTACAGAATTGACTAACGGTGTCTTCGCGTTTGCCGGTATGCTGTTTATTGGGATCCAGAGTTTTTAATATGGGATCCCAGGTGTTTGATAACGGACGGCCCCAAATTATCAAACACCTAAAATTTATAAAGATAAGGAGCAGGTTTGCTAAAACTATTTTTTATGCCCAAAATAACTATTCTACGCGGACGCAGTAGCTGACACAGCTAGTGTTTAGCATAAAAGCATCGACCTCCCATGAAGAGGCTAGCGGTATAACGGATCACCTATACATCTAAAGAGGAGTGGAAGCAACGACGGAGTTTGCGCGGCATTTTCCAATCAATCAGCATTGGTCACGGCCATCGGCAGTCTGACATGACGTCATTAGATGCTCCCGAGGTATATTTTGTACGCTCTCAAACACGAGACGCCGGGCCGTAGTTGAAATAAATATTAGTCTTAGTAATACATTAAGTGTTTTAAACCGTTACAATTAAAAGAAACAGTTTAGATGGCGGAATATTTTGTTTATCTATGTTTAAAAATATTTTAGATTGTACGAAAAATATAACGTCAATTACTGTTCTCAGTATAAAATATAGTTCAGAAATAGACTTTATACAGAAAAAAAAAAAAAAAAAATAGATGTAGAATGTAGAATTTTCTAAAAAAAAAAAAAAAAAAAAAAAAAAAAAAAGAAGGGGAAGGACCCAAAAAAAAAAAAAAAGAAAAGGGGAAAAAAAAAAAAAAAAAAGGGGGGGGGGGGGGGGAAAAAAAGGGGGGGGGGAAAAAAAAAAAAAAAAATTTTTTTTGGGGGGTTTAAAAATAAAGAAAAAAAAAAGAAAGGGGGATTTTTGGAAAAGAGGAAAAAAAACCAATGGGGCAATTATTAAAATAGGGAGCTGGGGGAGAACCAAACACTGTAGATGCCGATTCACTTCAGTCTCCTTCCGTGTCGTTGTTTTTTCAAGCTAAATAGGTATATAGATTTTAAATTTATAAGTATGCTGTCATGATGTGCATATGCAATGGAATAATATTAAAAGCAGTATGAAGAATGACATTTTTTTTCCTCTTCTACGAATCTGTAGCAGACATATATTTAAAATGAATGATTAAAAACGATTTATTTAAAAGTTGCATACAACGACTCGATTAACTTAATAACTAAGCTCAATATAAGTATGAAGTATAACATTTGACAATGCAACTCTTAAAACAGGAGCCGCTCAGCAAAAAACACTAATTTTAGTGGCTCTATTTCTGTAAACTATATTTTAAATTTTTCTGGAATTGTTCCTAGGGCTTCTCATACTCAATCTTAAGTCTTTTTATTGATTGATTTAATTTCTTGGGACAACAAGGAGAACTCTACAAGGAGTTTTTTAACTCTGCCCGATCGAAACTTAAAATGATATTACAAATATTATACATACTTTATAAATCCTGCAATTTTTTCCTGTTTTAAATACCAATAACAACAGTAGTATAATAAACAGAACATAAACACGAATATTCCCTCCAAGTGTCCATTAATTAGAGCAATTGTTGTGTGGAGTGTGGGGGCGATCGCTAACACTTCTAAAACTCGAATTAGGGAAACATGTATAGAGCTGTTGCAACCCTGCATTAATGTCAGATAAAGTATAATTGATGTTGTTAGTATATATCTTGATTTTATTTAGATCGTGTCCTTTTCTTATTTACCGCTTGATATTTTGATTTATATGTTATGTTCTAATTTTGTAATTATTTATATAAGTATGTTTTGAATGGAATTGATTGGAATCAAGTTTTTACTCTCCAACTATTAAAACTATTTTACAATTACGTCATTGAAGGTAGATAAAAAATGCAAAACTCACACCCACCATCAAAATTGACAGCGTGGTTGCTCATATGTAAGAGGTGATAGATGAAATGATCGAGAAGATTTCCTGATCGATAATATCCAGTTATTTTTCACTCTATTGAAAGACGCCATGTCCTACGCCCAATTATGATCTTTTCTAAATTAAATTTCAAATATTTATATGTACTGTGAAGTATTGACAGCTCTATACAATTACTGGAATAGCACGTGTTGAGTTTGACATTTGCGTGCGCGCACCCTGTTGGTCAATTTCGTGTGATCTTTGCCGAACACGCGTGATGGGGAAAATTACACACATTATTTAGTGTGTTTGGAAAGATTGGGTATTTTACTTATTACTTAAATGAGAGTGAATTTTGACTTTAACTCCACTGGGCTGGCCATTTGGAGAGAATGGGAGATGATCGGAGTGTCAAGAAAGCGTATATCGGAATTCCAACTGGCCGCCGACCTGTCGGCCGGCCAAGATATCGCTGGAAGGACGCCGTGGAGAAGGACTTGCACGTGCTCGGTGTGGCCGAATGGCGAACAGCCGCGCGAGATCGGCGAAAGTGGCGCTCTTCTTAGTTTCCGAGGCCAAGACTCTGGGTCGCTGCGCCAGCGGAGTAAGAGTAAGTCAACTTTGATAGAATTGTGTAAACTGAAACCAAACATAGATTAAGTTATATGAATTACTGCAGGTTTACAAAAAACAAATGAATGTTACGGTTTTTAAAGGTTAAAAAATGAATCAAGGCTTAGATAAATTACTTCTAAATAAATAAATAAAAAATGCATCCGAAAATGTCGAAGTTACCAGTTACGTTAAGCACAAGTGGGTCTTGAGTTCAAACCTCTGGAAAACATAAACTGTTTCTTCGATAGGAACGTAACATTGATCTTACCTGTAATAATATCGACTAGTAAAGCGGACACAGAAATGTGGACGAGGCGAGATTGAAAAATATATTTGGTTATTCTTAATTTCTAAGCTTTCCTCCCATGACAACATCTTATTCTTAGCTCAAAGTAAATAAATTCTTCAAACCAAACAACAATAATCGACGCAATACGTCTTGCACCTAGGTCCACCTGTCAGAGCCAAAAAACCGTCCGCCCCACAAAATACCATAGAGTAAAATTAATTATTGTTTTTTCATCCGCCCTTCGAGATGTTATAGCAGAAATTATTTGGTGTTTAGCCGCCAGAGGGCGTGGTAGCCGGTGATTAATACACGTATTTCTATGAAAAAACATTAATGAGGTCGGATTCTTGTTTTGGAGTCGTTATACTGCGTTGCGGCGAACATACTGGTTTTTAGGTTATTAAATCACACACGGCTACTACGTAAATGTAGGGTTAAGCTTTAAGGCTTTTTAGGAATATGCTAACAGTAGAAACGTATAACTATTAATTAACAAGTAATTATTAATACGTCAAAATTGGTGATTCCATAGATAAGAAATATAGTAAGGTACAGAAATAATATGTACAAAATTTTTAACTTTATACAAGATGATTTTTTAATAGAGTGAACAGACAAGTATGGTGTACTTGATGGTAGTTGAAATATCCCATAACTATAACATCTCAACGAGATGTGTTGTCGACTTATTTCGGTTTTTAATATAGTTAAAATTCCGTTACCCCCCTGGGGCATATGGCGAAGTTGATGAGACTTCTGTGCCTGACCGAAATCATCTATGGCTTCTGAATTCATTGTTTACCCATTATCTACAAAGATGATTTTGGATATATAATTGGTGATATTTCTTTCATTTTAACTTCTAACAACGCTATATTTCTGATTTCACAATTGGGTTTATTTAATTTTTACACTTGCCTCTTACAACAATAACATGAAGTTTTATAAACTTGGTGATGGTAAAAAGAAGAGTCACGGCGAGTTTTTCTTCAACTCCTATAAAAGTAAATATATATTTAGCGTCTTTTATTTTCATGAATAATACACTAATAAGCCTAATTGAAGTTCAATCAAATGTAGTTTCGGCAATAATATGCTTTATAACACATAGACCGGCAACACAACTTCTTAAAGGAAATTAGGTCCGAGGGCCTCATTACGCTCAATATTTTAAAACAATGGGAAAGGCAACTGCAAGCAAAGGTTCCCAGGCTCCATCTTTTTGCGGAGCCCGTCCAAGGCGCGCCACGCCCACGGTCTCCGGGAATTTGCATTTAATCTCATTTGTCATTGTCTGCGCACGAAAATAAAACATCAAAAAACGCGTCTAGATTTCTAATGGATTCTGCAGAGAACCACCGGCTTTGCTAATAATCCCGAGAAAGATTAATTGAAGGAACAAATAAAAAAACTAAGTAAACCATAAAATAATGAATTATTGTGGTATTAAAAAAATCAATTTTAACTGTTTAAAACGGGAAATATATTCGGTAATTTATTGGTATTACAAGCATTTTAAAGTATTAACTTATTAACCCAAAACATATTAGGAAACTTATTTTTACTTTAATTTAACTACGGCCACGACGTTTCGGATGCTATGCGATAGCCGTACTCATGCGGTGGGCATAATTGTTAAACACTTCTTATCCATTACAAGCGTTTTATTTAAACGTGGACTCCTCTGTTTAAATTATATACGATACTTTTTAATAAAAAAACGGTAAAGTTTATACCAATTCAAATATTAAGACCCTTAAAAAAAAACTCTTAAATTTTAACTTTGAGCGAACATATCTTGTTCCATACTGAGGGAATCAAAGTCGAAATAGGAAGGATAAGAAATTAAAAAAATTTTTTTTTTACACCCCCCCCCAAACACCCCCAACAAAAAAAAAAAAAAAAAAAAAAAACCCCCCCCCCCTGGGGGGGGGGGGCGGCCCCCCCAATTAGCAGAACACGGAACGCTGACAATGCCCGTACAAGTCCAGCCCGAGTCGTAAATTTTTTTCAATTTATTTATTTTTAAATGCAATTATTACAAGAAAATGTTTATCATAGCATAATCATTTTCAATTACGAAAAGTAACATTTCTTTCGAGTATTCCTAAAAGCGTTTCTTAATAATTTATAAAAAATAATTACGCGAAACTTCTCGACGCCTCTAGCGTTCGCGACGCGGCATAGCTTGTTTACCGAAATTAAAAAGTAATTTTTCCAGAGAAGGCGTAAGCTTGGAATGCCCATGGGGAGACTTGGCCAGGTATTATAAGGAAGCTTCACCGCCCATCACCTCTAGCGTTTGCTACCACTAATTGTGTTTCCTTATGACGTATCTTGTTTGAAGAATTCATAAATTCTGATTCTAAATAAACTATTATATGTGTATTTTGTATTTTAAAATAAGAATAATATCGATCTGTTTCTACTTTATTTCTTAAATGACTGGTATAATATGTGTTAATGGTCTAGCTGTGTCAGCGACTTCGTCCGCGTAAAATAGTTATTTTGGACAGTTTTTGCAAACCTCATCTTTACAAATTATACTCTTAGGTGCTACCGACGTCGTCGTCTGCTTCCGGTCGTTCTTGCAAGTTAATTTTAAAAGATAGACTTGATAGATAGAACATTTTTTTAGGTCATTTAGAGAGAAATCGATCTTTCATACATCCTTTTTGGTAGGTATCTAGGAACAGTTTTCGCAGGTACGCAAGAACTTGTGGGTTTCCGTTGCGTACTGCGCTGTTATTGATGTTTCCCATTTTCTCCTCATTTACCGCTTCTATTGGTCGCAACGTGATGTTATATAGCCTATAGCCTTCCTCGATACATTTGCTAGCAAATACAAAGTATTACAAGTTATATATATACAAAGTATTTTTCAATTCGAACCAGTAGTTCCAAAGATTAGCGCGTTCCAACAAACAAACTCTTCAGCTTAGTATAGATATAAGGAGTAATCTTCCATTATATAGGACTCTTGGTTAACGTATTTTGAATTATGATTGTTGGAAAAACACATAATATAAATTATTCATAGACATTACTTACGACTTAAAAATCAATTTCTAATTGCGGTCTATAGATTTTCGAAACTTCTCCATCTGTGAACGGTGTTTCGATGGAAAATGACCTATTCCTTATTTCCTACTACCTTTTCAACTTTCCAAGATTTCCAAGATTACTTGGTAAATTATTTCCTCATAGGAGTCAATTAGTTAGTTACTTTCCAACCAACGAGATCTTAAATTTTAGTGAGACCCAACATAAACTTATATAAGACCCAACTTACGCCTAATAAGAGGACATTAAGACACAATGAGATTGTACGCGATATTCAAAACAAATCAAAACGACCGTAAAGTGTCCTTAAGGCAACCCGTATCATTTACGTACCTTGTTTATAGCTTGTCTGTCCGTACATGTTAATGACGTACGGACAAATATATTCCTCGCTTCAGACGCCTCACTGCGTTCCACAGCATTGTTTTTCTCGAAAGCACTTTTAAGAAAACCCATGTTTTCATATTTTATTAATATAACGGAGAGGTCAACGTAAATTGGTCGAGATTTTGCTTCTTTTACATTATAAATGCAAGGTGTTTTGTTTTTATTTTGTTATAATTTCGCGAAGACGCCGCGGGCGTAGCGGCGATATGAATATTAAGAATTTTTTTGTTTCAAGCCCAGTGCTTGTTTCCACTGTTATTTTGATATCGAAGGTCGAATATTCTACTACGCTAGAAATATTTACTTATTTTTTGACGGGCTCCTCAGAGCAATGGTAATAATGTATGGCTTATAATCAATGGGTCGTAAGTTACTACCCCACTAGGTCCATTTTTTTTTTCTATTATATAATTTTTCTTCGTCTGGAAATGGTAGGTGGTAGGAATATCGAAATTCCGTCCAGATTACGAACCACCATCTATAGATAAAAAGGAAATAAATTTAATTTCGTTACGGTCAGTCTGTGCAATTCCGAATGTAAAGACAAAAGGTACAAAATAGGTCGACAAAATAGGACGTATAGTGTTTAGATGTTATGTGTCTGGGGTATTTCAAGTGAAAACCATGCCTGTCTATAATTTATTTTGAAGATATTAATAATAAAATATAATTGAATAGCATATAATGTTTATTTTTTTTTTTAATTAAGACATTAGTGTAGTAAATCAGAAGTAATACTACGCTAACATCTGACTGTTTGTAAGGCATCAAAGGCCGAGTTCAATTAAAGCAACAAATCTTACTTTAAGTAATTAAAATGAAATATTTATAAGGCATTTAAAATTACTTAAATATACGAGTAGGAACAATAGTACGATTCGTAGTGTAAGTGACAATGGAAACAAATTCTAACGGTCACTAGTCTGAGTGATGGGTGACTAAAATTTATGGCTGACGAACGAATTAATAGCATCTAATTGTACGACGGATAGGAGAAGCGATGAACTCGAAATAATGTGTTTTAGCTTTTATAAGTTCTAGACAAAACAGCGATGCAGACGTTTTCCATTTTTGCAACGTAATGTCTATATTTCGACATGGGATTGTCATTGAATAAAACACTTATAGGTTTTAAAATTTGTTAATGTAGATTGTTGTTTGGAATACTTTCTATAGTTTGACGCGGGTAATAGACATTTAAATAAAACACTTTAACGGTTTAAAAGATATATTAGTTAAACTTATCCAAAAAATCCCTATTTTCCCGTCATAGTTAAACATTAATCAACGTATATATTTTACGTTTTAAGCCATTAACAATGTATTGGATTGTGCCTTTGGTAGCTGACCATACTTCTGTTACCTTTACGATCCATATATTTCTTTATTAGATAATCGGACTGTCGACATTATATCACAATTACTGGCATATCTAACTTAAACTTTAAATATTAAAATACAAAATTGTGTAAAACAACTACAGACATAACACAACGTGCATGTTAAACAACGACAAAAAAAAGACTAAATTGTAAAAAAAGGAAAACATTTGTAACAATAGGTTATAACTATTACGTAGGTATGTGAATTCCCCGAGATTCAACCCTAGATCTGATTGCGATTGATGCAAATTGGTTGATTGTTCGACCTATTTGTATGACGTGAAATTTTCGCAAAAAAAACCGGAAAAGGGGTTGGGGTTTGGAAATTTAAAAATTTAAAACCCGGGGAAAAAAAAAACACAAATTTCAAAGTATTCATCTTGGAAAAATTTAAAAACCCCGGCTTGAACCACATTCACAGCGTCCTCTAACTGGCTGATCTTAAAAAGACAAATTTTGACGATTAAATCTTGGGTTAGTTAAAACGCATCGAACTTCACAAGTTATTGATTGCGTTGAAAACTTAAACGTTTGCCCTAAGCGCGGGCGGGCGGCTACTTGATAAGTGTGGATCACGCACGCCTCAGGCTTACTCTGATGTGACCACACCCTTACGGCCGAATCATTTCTATACTCAATTAAATATTCTTATACCAATCGCTTCTTTAACCAAAGCTAAATTGCGCATTTATAATTTCCTAGCTGTGCCCGCGACTTTCCGTGGAATAGTTATTTTGGGCAAAAAAAGTTTTTAATCCATAACTTTATAAATTATAGATCTTACCCACAACGTCGTTCTTGAAAGTTAATTTTAAAAGATATACAAATTGTCGTAGTTATTTTTTTAATCATTTAAAGTGGAAACATTCTTTCATACATTTGTTTTGGCATCTTGAATCGTTCTCTCAGTGCAAGAAAATACTTAAAGATGAATAATTTACCTGTTTTTCCACATTTCCCTATACCTCACTTCGCTCAGTATGACTTCTATAGCCTCGATAAATGTTCTGACAAATAAAAAAATTTTTTAAATTCGAACGAGCCCCTAGTTTCTGACATTAGCGCGTTGAAACATACAAACAAACTAATACATTGTGCAACGCTTCTCGCTCACGTCGGCCGAACAGCCAGAAAGACAATATACAAACAAACTCTTCAGCTTTATATATTAGTATAGATAAATCAAATATCGATTATCGAAGGTTCAATCGATCAAAAGCATTGCAGATTTGAGTATATCCAACGAGGCGAGTGTAGAGCCCGTTTAGAATTTCAATTATTACAATATCCGTCAACACAATTCTAATCTACATCGCTGATGAACGAAAAAAAATTAATGTTCCAGCAAATGGAATCGGACTTTCTACAAAAAGAAACGAAACACATAGCTACCATTCAACCTCTTTGCGCCCAACCTACATGAAGTTGTTTTTTTTCTCTATGCCTTTCCCACAGTGGTCTGTACTCTGTGGTACCCCGCCCAGCAAGAAACGCTTGGTCATTGCAACCTTTCAATTTTTTATTCGAAATAAAATTTAATCGTAGTTCTAATCTACTGTTTCAATAGGTTAGTTTTTGTAGTATGTTGCTATTGGTCGGCCTTGTGACTTCTGTTGTGTTCGTGGTTAGGCTATTGACGATGTTTTGAGCTTTTGAATTGCGAAATTAGCTATGTTTTTGTACGTGACTGTACATAATTTATATACTAAATACATTGATCGTGTTCGATCATCAATGTTGTAGGGTGGGTTTTTAGACTGAGTTGTCTACTGTCTTGTTCCTATCGTTGTTACAGCTAAGTTAGAAGTTGCTTTTTTCTCCTCATCCTTGTACTGCCTATCTACAGAACATGTTGCGCGTCAAATTGTATAGACCCAGAAATACAGTTCCACATGCAGAAATCGAATCATTAATCGTATACTTTCATCTTGTGGACATCTTTATAAGCGAAACTATATAGATAGATATAAATGAGATTAGAAATTTAAATAAGACACTTTTTAACGGTTTAAAACGCGAAATATATTAGTGAAATGGTTTACAATTTATTTTAAATACGGCCCGTTGAGGAGATTAAGATTGTTTCTTGAAATTTTTCTAAAGATATGTTTCAATTTATCATAAATACAGGATACAATGCTTGCGGAAAACAAAATACTGTTTAGTCGGAGAAAACAAAAATCCGATGTGATAATTTTTTTCCAATTCTTGGAAAATTTTCTAATTTAATTTTTTTAATTTTTCCTAAGAGGGGTTGCCTGGAAGAGATCTTTAATGGGCCTCCTTAACTCCATACTTTATTGAATATTTTTGGGTTCAATGTAATTGTTTGTGTAATAAAATATAAATAAAAATAAAACCTTGAACATTATAAATAGTGGTTTAGAACACCTTTTCTTAAGTTATTCTTTACTTTCTTTTACTTTGGAGTACCTACATACTGCGTTATCAACTTAAATAATACTCTAATTGTGTTTCTGTGGGAAATATTTCAGAGCGAATAAAATATTTCTCGGAAGCATCGATGAGAGATTTTTGAGATTACAGTACGCGCAATGCAGCCGTTCCGAGATAACCATAATGCTGTATACATACACAAATTTATTACTAAATATATACATCATTTAGTATCTAATGTGTTCCTTCTATATTGAGTGTACTATTTTTTCATGTAATTTTATTTTTTCTGTTAACCTAAATTATACTAAGTGACTTATAGCAATAAATATGGTTTTTATTTAAAAAACAAGATACTTAAATCGTCCCCTAAACTACTATTTACCATAAATTACAAAGAATTGCAGTTATTTTGTAAATAAGCATTAAGTATGTACAAACGGACGAGGTAGATTTAAAAAAAAAAACATTTTTTATACCGACTAAAAAAGCAATATTCTTCACTGGCAACAACAATTTCACAAGTTTCTCATTAAGTTATGATTATATTATGTTTTATTTTTATATTTATTAATAAGTCTATATCTATGCGTGGCTTTTATGGTTGTAAATACATTTATTCCTTCTTCTTCGTTTTTCATAAAAGCTTTATTCCATATCGTTTGTTTTCGGTACATTTATTGAATACGTCTGGCCATATAAATTATAAATCTTAGCCAATATTTGGACAATTATTAAGGTTTGGAAATAAAGCCACTTAATTTCGTGTAGGTACATTTAATTTTATTCCCATATCCAAGTCCACAGATACTACAACAATTTAAATTTCATAACACTATGTATACCGCTTTATGCGCGTCTATTTTATATTTAACTGTAAAGCATAGACAGCGAGGCAAGAAGCTGCGCATGCGCGCTACCCCGTAATTAAGGCTGCTGTGCGCGCGCCGCCCACAATCAGCCGGGCTCCCATAGATTTTTTATTTTCTTCGTGGTAATATGCAGGCTTATTTTATATACCCGACCCTTTAGATATAAGTATATAGATCTAAACATTCTAATGTTTTAGAAAGATGCACAATAAGCCAGTAAATTAAACAACGAAAAAAACAGCTTTTGCGCCACAAATAGGAAGCAATAGTTTTTTTTTACTGAATTTTTGACAGATTACTCTGTTATAAATAAATAAAGCGTTCATACCACCGCCACAGCTATAAAAGCATTTTAATATCACCGTTGGAGTACTCCGAAAAATACTCCTCTTTCTTTTTTTACTTCAATTTCATAGAT